AGCTGGGCGAACGGTGAAAGACAGCATCGCCCAATTCGGCGAAGTTTGCCGTTCACCGTTGTATTTCAAGCATTTGATTGAGAGTCTGATACAGCACACCACAGCAGCATAGCTGATAATTGATCTTATCACAGAGGTGAATTCCTATAAGATTTCTACGGGTGACAGACCCAACGCCTTATCAATTACCAGTTTACTTTGCCAGAACGATGTTAAAACTTTGGATGTCGTTAGTTCAACATGACACTGTCATAAATGTTTGCAATTTAGGATTTTACTTAAATATCGGGGATTCAATAGGAGCGCAAATGTTCGCAATAGGGCCATTGTTTCATGCGCTGTGTGGCAAGTGTTGAAACCACATATTAGCCAAGTGCATGTCATATAATTCAGGCCATACAAGGTATTTTATCATGTCAAAGATAACCTTCACCGTAACAGCGTTGCCGGCATCATTTCCGACGAGGTACGGTCCGATAAGTCGGATAGCCTAAAAACCACACCAAACAGTACCTTGTCGTGGGTGCATCGATAGCTTCTGCTTACAGTGGTTTTAGTTTTTCTTGTTAACGTATCCGCATGAAACAGAAATTATAGTACTCCATCAAAATTTATAGCGTTTTCTTTTCTCGAAAAAAGGCTGCACTTATTCTGCCTTGTGTTAGCGCTGTCACATTTTCATGTTCTTTTCTCAGCCCTTTCACAAGGCGTCGTGTTCTTTTCTCAGTAGGTTGCGCTCTGATCCGGCGAAAGTGCTGCCTTTTCTGCCCTCAAATAAACGTGAGGGTTCGAGTTGCATGGTTGATTTTTAATTTAATCTTGTAAAAATGCAATTATTTTCCCTATCAGAAATAAGTGTTTTGCTTTAAAATTGTTAAAGACTAACAGGCCAAGTGAATAATTCAGCTTTATTAAGTTCTATAAATAAATTGTGCTGGAGTAGTATATTTTCTGTTTCATTCTCATATAAAGAACGCAACATTTTCTCAGGTTTCAGGGCAACGCAAAGCAAGAGTTCCCATATAGAACTTTTTTTGAGAAAAGAAAACGCTATTATTTATAGAACTTAATCAAGCTGAATTATTCACTTGGCCTGTAAGTCTTTAGTAATTTTAAAGCAAAACACACTAAAATAATTGTATTTTTACAAGTGTAAATTAAAAATCAACCGTGCAACTCTCACCCTCACGTTTATTTGAGGGCTGAAAAGGCAGCACTTGTGCCGGATCAGAGCGCAACCTGCTGAGAAAAGAACACGACGCCTTGTGAAAGGGCTGAGAAAAGAACATGAATATTTGACAGCGGTAACACAAGGCAGAATAAGTGCGGCCTTTTTTCGAGAAAAGAAAACGCTGTAAGTATCGCTCCATGACTAAGGTTGTCAAAACCTATAGTACCAATTGCCTTAAAAAAACATCAACTTATCACAAACAATCGCGGCCATAAATCTACACCACCCTTGTATACGGTGACCATATTAACCAACGTAAAATAAAGGACATTTTTTTTCAAAATGATTTGGGAATACGTACATACAACTTGTATTATAAGAGTACCTTACCCATATCGTAATTGAAATCAAATATTTACCAGTAAATTATATTACTTAATTGTACAAGTTCCCCTGCTGAAGCCAAATCCTTTTCAAGGACTTCGCCATTTTTTGCTACCAAAATGCTTTTACCATATTTCATACTGCACGACGAAGCCAGCACACAGTGGTTCAAAATTGGAATTGAATTTTCATAATGCACCGGAGCCTTCATTTTTCAACACCAATTTTTACTAAAAACCAAAAAAGAATGTTTATTTTGGTGAAAATTTTTTTATAACATTTCAAATTTTTTTTTTGTGTAATTTTTTGTTTTGGAAGAACCATACAATTGTTTTCAAGTAATTTTTGTTATGTAACATTTAATAACTGGAACAGGAGAATACATTTTCTTCAAAATTGCTACTTTTTCTGCATTATGCACTAAAAAATTTAATATTAGGGGTATTCTCTGAGTCTTGCAAAGGCCTTGCATGGTGCTCATATTGCACGGATTGCATGATAAAAACCGGTTTTCGTATGGGACAGCTTTGCAAACCGTGCAATCCGTGCACCGTGCAAGGGCTTTGCAAGACTCAGAGAATACCCCTATTATCAAATAAAAATCAGAAATCAGGCTCAACTGGTCTCTTGCAAATACTGTAAAACGTAAAAAAAAACGTTGTAATGAAGCCTCAATTGAATTACGAACTCTAAATGCCAGTAAAGGAAGAAAGAAGAAAAAATTATAAAGGACAGGGGGTTAAAATAAAGGACTGTCCTTTAAAATAAAGGACGGATGGTCACCGTACCCTTGTATGACCCTATATTTACATCACTTCAGAAGAACTGTAAATAGTGGCGTCCAACATTTCTACTGAAGAGCATAACATTCTGGTCATTATGGGCGACTGAGTCAGACTCCGAAGCAAAGATACAAAAATTTTCATAGTTTTCTTTTTAATCTCAAAAAGCTCTTTTGTATTTTGCTACAATTGTTTTAGGTTTTTTAGCTTTGAAAAAAATATGAAACAACTTTTGAATATTTGACAGTTTAGGTACCTAAAAAGTTAATTTGACAAATGCTACTGGATGCATTGTCCCTCATTGATGTCTTTAAAATCTTGAAGGAGAAGTCAATGTTCAACACCCTACAACTTGTGGTGATCCATTTTTTTTTAATAAAACTATAAAAATCAAATCAAATATTTACTAATTTAAGGCATATATGTACTTATGAATGTACATATGTGCGCATATGTCAACTTTGACGAAGCTTATTCTGAGTAAAAAACAGCAACAAAAATTAATAGCATTCCTGCTTAATTTCCTATCATCAAATATCCACAAATTTAAAACTCAAATCTAATCTGCAAATTTTACACACCTTTTCCTCTAAAACTTTGCGCTGCAACAACAATTAAAACTGATGACCAAAGTTCAGATCCCTACAGCAATTTGTATAACAACCATTAAGCGAAAGACGAAAAAGAAGAAAGAAGCAAAAACAACATTTTGTCAGATGCGTTTGTAGCGTCGATTTGTTTTAGCTGCTGACTTGGGTGCACTTAACTTTTTTCAACAATTCGTTTTTTTTTCTGCACCCTACGGTTACCTTTTCCAACGCATACCCTATACTTGGGCGTTCCCTCAAATATGTATGTATGTATTGTATCCTTTTTAATGGTAGTTCTTAAATGCCTTAAAAAAGCATCACCACCCCCCAGCAAACGGACACACAGTGCCTAAACACATTAAGTAGCTCTGCTAAGTGAAAGCGGTTGTCCACTTCAACGAAAAGTTGCTGATGTTTTGTTATTCTTAGCACTCTTTTTGTTGTTGTTATTTGAAAATTTGTTATTGTTTTACTTTTGTACTTTTATTTTTAGATGTTGTTTTTGTAAACATTTTTCTCCTTTTTCCAGCTAAGACCTTCGAGTAAGAGTAGGGAAAAGGTGTTTTTCTTTGTTAATGGCTTTAAGAGGGTTAAAAGTGTTGTGGAATCTAATTAGAAAAAAGCTGGCGCCAAGAACGTCAAATATGGTTTTTAGGCAGTGTAAAAAAAAAATGTTGTAGTGATTTTTGAGATTAAAGAGAGCATTCACTTTGGCCGCAATCGTAATGGGATTATTTCATTTTTTCCACAAATTTTATTAAGAAGGGTGGGAGAGGTGAGCTTTTGAGGCAAGTTCGCACGGTTTTGTATGTAACATATACTAATTTGAGGAGAGTGGTGTCTACTTTTAAATTTGTTTAAGACAGGTTTTCATGTAGATAATTCATTATGGTAATATTATAGTAATATAAGGAAGTACTTTCTCTTCGGTAAAATTTCTGAAAAAAAAACCAATACACATATCTGCCATATGTATAGAGATCTCCAAAAATTGAAATATGCTCTCGATGTATTACAGTTCTACATAACCCGTCATGGCAGATGATCTTTTATAAAATGATTTTTTGTCACAGAAACACAATCAGAAATTTGTTAGCTAATAGCCGTCGCCATTGAAAACGAAATTTCAAATAAGTATTCCGCTGAGCTGCAATACAACCTCTGACCTACCAGGTGATAGCACGCACCTCTTACCGCTCAGCTTGAGTCACTTTCCATAAAATCTTTTCAACTCCAGAACCATTCTGGCTTCTGTACGCGAAAATTGTCACAAGAGAAAAACCGCCTTTGAAGAAATCCATCCAAATCCAGAAGTGTTTATAATAAGTCCAGTGGATCTGACAGTTGGAGTATTTATCTAAAATCGTACTTCAATACTAATGCAAGTCCAAGATAAGAAAGTAATCAGTTGGAAAATTTTATCCGAAGCCCCCCACTGCCTTGACACTTACTGTCATAAGTGAACAAAAACGTCAGCGTTCTCTGGCTGTCAAAAAATTCTCATGCCCATAAAATTTGAATACATAAAGTGGTTAATTGATTTACATATTCTCAATCTCATTACGGTACTTTCTGCGGGGAAGACTCGTATCGTGAGTTTTCCGCATTTTTTCCAATCTTACGGTGGCCATAACAACTTAGAGACCTTGTTTGGTACATAAGTTTTTTGTAATGACTGCTGTGTGTTGACAAGTTTTCCTCATTTGACCTACCTGGGGCCACTTCAATAAGTATTTAATATGCTTTAATCTTCAGCCGCTCACCGCTCCACCGCTCATTGTGGCCGCGTCCTTAGCAGGGCCATACTGTTTGGTTATCCTTCGGCGGAATGTATATTATTTTATTAAATAGGAGTAGAACTGAGATCAAAGGTTTATAACTGGTCACAACCGATTAACTTCCTTGTGTTGCTAAACCCAATTATTTAACTAACTGTTAATTCGTCTTCTAAATTCATATACTTACTATCTCTTCACGCTTTTAAGCAATACTAATACTTAGTTAAAAATGTAATTTATTTTTCTTATTTTTTTAATATTGCCTTCAGATATGCTTTTGGCTTCGGTCTATTACTTTTGAGAACCTCTTTTATTTTGGTACGTAATTCCAAATTCATGCCAGTGTTGCGCAAATCCAAATGCTGTAGAACTTTATTGAAACCAATAATTTTATGTAGTTGCTTGCCGAATTCCTGAAAGAAAAAATATTTAATAAGGTATTACAGAAGTTTACCAGATCCCGAGTTTACCTCGCCTAATTCGTTATTTGAAATATCGATGTTCACAAGTGACTTATTTTGAATAAGCAATTGCATGAATAGTTTTGTTATCGACGGACATACGGAACAGCCGCTAATGTCGAGCGCTTCCACTGGCATGCGTTGCATGAGCGAGAAAATTGCGGCAACACCATCACTCTCAATTGGATTCAGGCGTAGAATTAGCTTGCGCAACGAAAGGCCTTTAATGGTGCGGCTAAGTACGTAAGCGCCCTCGGAGGCTGAAAAGAAGGCAATTAGAAGAATTAAAGAGAGAGGAGCTTAAACTGTGACACTCACTGATTCTATTATCCGTTAGATCGAGCACTTCCAGTGTACCGAAGGATTCCTTGTTGCATGTACTCAAAAATTCCTTAATCCCAGCATCGCGAATAGTGCAGTGAATTATAGACAACGAAGTCAGTTTGTGACAGCCTTTATCCAGAGCTCGCGCCAGAAACGGAAGCTGATATGATTCAAGTTTGGTGCTATGCAAACTGCCATAAGAAAAGCGCAGAGAAAATGAAAATATCAGCAGAGCTAACCACATTCAACCCCATCGTGAGAAGGCGAGCTGTGTTGCCACCCCTTGCCTGGCGACCTACCAGAATGTAACTAACTCATGACATTGACTCAGGCCGCGTGACAACGTTATTACGTCCTTCTGCGAAAGTGTATTACTGCCCAGACAAAAGTTACTGCCCACCGTCTTGGTGGCGTAAGTCAAGCGTAGCGTTTGCAGTTCGGGCAAGTTGCTCAATATGAAATCGAGTGGAATGTGATCTGTATTGTTAAGACAAAAAGCAAGAAATTGGTCGACATGCGTGCCAATATTAATACACTTGCCATCTGTTTTTCTTTTTCAACCTACCCACATATAAATGGTCGTACATTGTATATTCGTATCTCCCACTCACCATTACGTCCATCGGCGGCAGGTTGCAAACACTTTATCTCCAGTTGATTTACATATGCCGCACAAATGTCCAACTCCGCTTGCGTCTGTTCCTGTTCGTAATCGCACGTCTCCATGCATTCGATGAACTCCTGCAGATGTCGCTGCATGTAGATGCTAATCCATGGCTGTGCCTGTGTCAAGCTATTGGTGTGGTGGTGGGGCTTCCAGCGTTGCTGACAACAACGGCGCCAAAAGAAGTTGTCACGTATGCGTTCGCTGAGCAGCGTGAGTGGCAATTGTGTGTCCAGGTGTGCGAGTAGGTAGTTGCGATCCTCTTGTCGTGTCAACTCCTCGAAGATGGGATTGTCTGGCAGGAAGCGTATACAAGTACGTTGGCGATATATTATTTGCATTTAAATATGTTGCTTGTAGTATTCGTAATGAAATTATTACCATTCCAATTGGCAATGATGGCATCGAGCGCCAAATGACGCAGTGATTCCGGTTGATTTGACTGCTGCTGCCGGCCCTCCTTATCTGTTGCACGCTGGCCATCGCTGACAAGCAGGGATTTGTCGCGCTGTCGTGGTAGTATTACGTTGCTTGCATTGAAATATGGCTTAAAGGTGTTTGCATCGACAGTAAAGGGGAACTCGACGTATGAGAAATTCATTGTTTTTGCGTTTTGTGTTAATTAAAAAATGTTTCTACTTTTCGGCTCGGATTAAATTGTCTAACTAGTAGAGAAACTTATTTACGTAAAGTAAATAAATACATAGTTTTGGGAAACGGTTAACGAGTTGGTTGCCAGGGTAACTTTTCGCTAACAAAGCCGGTGTTTGGGAATGAATGATGAATGATAAATAAATGGACGAATATTTAAAATTTTTACAGATAAAAAGAAGTTTGACATTAGTGAAATGTTATTGGCATCCAAAAAGGTATTTGAATAGCTAAACGTTTTACGGCTGAACAAGACGATGATATTATGTATTACCAAAATGATGAATCTTCGGTGGATGGATTTCGCTCATTTCGAAGAAAGTCTTCTTCAGTGATGAGACACATTTCACGCTTGGCGGTTTTGTTAATAGGCACATTTTTCGGAGCTGAAGAGGTGAGTTATTGAGGGACTCTTTGGGGTTCACTGCACCATCGGCATCGTCATTGGGACATATTTCTTCGAGAACGACGAAGGAGCCACCTCAGCGTTATTCCGCTCGGATCGATGACATTGTTTTGGCTTGAAATTTAAGATTTTGATCTACACGAAATGTGGTTTCAACAAAGCCTAAACAGGGCTCTTTTTTCGAGATATTTACAAGAGTCGTAATTTCGTAATTTGGTGACGTGGCTTGGTCACTAAGATCCTGCGATTTAACGCCTTTGGAACTGATTTTGTTGAGCTATGCCAAAGTCTGAATTTGTGCGAATAATTCAACAAAATTTGTTGCAATTGACGGACAAGATACGTCAAGTAATAGCCGAGTTATTGCAAAATTCTTAAGAATCGAAAATTACCTCAAAATTATTAACTCATGGAAAACAGCGCTTCAAAGGAATTCTTCTTCTTATGTATATGTCACTTGGTTTGGGCCGAGGCCAAAAAATCACGCCAATTGCCTCTCTCCATTGCTGATTTGCGCCAGTTGTTTATCGCAATCGTTGTTATTTTTTATGCGCTGACTATGTCGCACACGCAAACAAGGCCATAGATCTTACATAGAAAGTGCTATTGAAAGCACTCAAAGCCTTGTCACCTTTGTTTGTCATCGCGTAGGATGACAGATTTGTAGATGAGAGCTTTGTAGAGCGTGAGTTTTGTTCTTCGGGAGACGACTCAGTTTTTCAATTACCTACCGCACCAAAAATAGCATCTGTTGGCATGAGTTATTCTTCGGGTGATCTTCAAGCTGGAATGGAACCTTTGCTGACGTTGAGTAGGCATTTTACTACGTTACTTTGACTCCATGTACAGAGCTGTCAACCACAGCAACCCTGGTCAAGTATTCAGATGTTTCATTACCAGGTACTCCCGAGTGACCTGGCACACAGAGTAAAGCAAGCTCGTTATGTTTGCCAACATAATTTAGTTAAGACTTGCATTGCCGAACTAGTTTGGAAGTAGTTAGAGGGCTGGTCATTGCCTTAAGTGCAGCTTGGCTGTCACTGCAGACACGTAAACGCCTTCCCCTCCACCTATTTTCCACCACGTAGTTCATAGCTGTGAGGATTTCAAATACCTCAGCCGGGAAGGCCGAAGCATACTCTCCAAGAGAAAAGTGAAGCTTATCCCCATTAACTTGGATGTAAATCCCAGATCCATAGTCAGTTTTGGAGCTATTAGGGAACATTCGACAATGCGTGAGTCCGGTTTCAGTGCTGGTATTACACCTACATTCAGCCTCAGGGAATTCAAGACCGGCTATAATATATTGGATATACACACATACATATATAGCTGTAGTCAGAAGAAAAATTATGGCTTATTCCGAGGGTAAAGACCATAAGCTACAAAGGACTGTGTGTATAATAGTTAGGCAATACGGACATCATGAGTAAAACGCCAAGACTGGTCCTTAATACTCTGCTGGATTTGTTACCTCAGGATTTAGCAATATAAGAGAAGGCAATGGAGACAATGTGTAAACCGCTTTCTTGGGATTATGACAGGATGATCAAAATTTTGTTTTTAGCCCAACTGATAAACTAATGTCTGTATTCCGTAAGTCGATAGCTTTCCTAAAATTTGTCGGTAAAATTTGTATACCGACAGCTTCAAGACTGGAATATAAACTGGAGTTGAATGTCATCTACAGATGCTTTACTGCTTGAGATAATTTGGCTACGGTCTCTCAAACGGAAGTTGTTACAATTTTTTAAGCAGAGATGTCGACTTCAAATGAAATAGTGCAGTTCTTAAGCGGATGTGTACACATACAAAATAAAGCTTATGGAAATTAACCAAATACAAATTTGTATTATAAAAAACGTTGCAACTCTCATCGAAAATATTTAAGGACTAAAGTTTTAAAAAAAAATTTTCATTTGATATCCATATTGCGATGTTTAGTAAAATTTTGAAACACTTGTTATATAAGCATGAAGTTATATTGTCCCTTTATTTTCTAAACAAAAATACGATTCAAAATAGGCGTCAACCCCATTCAAAAATATTTTTGAATTGGGGTCTTTAAAATTGCTTCCATTAGATACCCATATTTTAATGTTTTATTTAATTTGTAAAAATTTCGAATAGGGGGCAACCTTATACGAGTATCCTCGGTTACAATACCTCTTTAGATAACCCTAAATGCAAAACATTATCTGTATACGAAATTTCATCAAAACTGTTTCCGAGAAACCTATCGATATACATACATTTATATACAAGTATTGCTCGTTAAATGTAGTAATAAGATAAATAAAAGTGGAAAAAATTTAAAAACATCTTTCTTGTTGGTACTTCAAGTCCAAAAGTAGTTAGTTATAAGTTAGTTGGCATATAATGCAGAGGAAACCAGTTCTCTCTTTATTGCGGTCATTGCACAGTGGTTCAAGATTAGCATTTTGTGTTCACAATTTACTGAAGCCTTCACTTTTCACTCAATTTCATTATTATTTTTTTTTAATGAAAGCTAATAAAATTTCCAACAGACCAGTTGAGCCCGATTTTTGAATTTTTGTTTGTTTGTTTTATTTTTTTAGTGCAAAGTGCAGAAAAAGTAGCAATTTTGATGAAACTCGATTCTCCTGCTACGGCTAATAAATGTTACGTAATAAAAACTAGTTGAAAACAATTGTAGGGTTTTCCCAAAAGAAAAAAATAAAAAAATTTGGTATTTTTTGTGACTTTTTTTTCGTTTCGGGGCGCCCAGTTTTGAGTCACTGTGCATCGCGCTTCAAAAATATTTAAAAATAGTAGTAGTAGTAGAAGGAAATTTGTAATAAAAAATTAGAACTAGTTGACTGCTGGGTAGTTAAAAATTAGCTATGTACTAGCCCCGTTTCCTGCAGGGTATGTATGTACATAGTACATATGTATGTATGTACGTGAATTGAGTGAATGTCTATGCATTCCTGCTAGATTTGGTGCCACTCAAATTGGCCTGTGTATCATAATATGCTTACGCATCGAGACGTTAAGTGCCATAAAAATAATTCAAAATAAATTGCTTTGCATAAAAAATGCAACTACAAGTTGAAAAAAAATTAAGTACATATAAGCGAAGAAGGAAGAATAGATGTATATATGTATGTGTGTAAGTACGACCCCATAAAATTTGCTGAAAATGTCCTTTTATGTATTTATACCGCAAGTCACTTGCAAACTGGCAGTCAAGCTGAACAACGTTATGAAATATGAGTGCTACGGTTACAGATACGAGACACCTCAGCTATTTGGAGGATATGTATCATTTTTTGTGGCTCGTAAGGTGTATAATTTGGCAATAATAATGCGCATCATGAAAATTCATCGACGTTATTAATTTTATGTTAAGGATTTCAACGCCATTCATGCCCAAATTGGCTAGCTGCAGATTGTAATAATAATTTTCTTCTGCTTTCCAATAACAAAAAATACGAAGTAATTTATAGCTTAGTGGCTGGCTGCTGAATGAAGAAAGCCAAAAGTGAGGTACATAGTTGTGTTTGATTGTAGCGTCTTAGTGCTATGTACTGCTTTTTATGTATGTACTAAGCCATAAAAAATTACGCGTCACTTTAAGGTGAGCAAAATATGTAAACACTGCCAACAACTGCAAAAGGTGTTGTGTTGGTGTTGACTTAGCCCGCCTGGAGTTGAAATAACTTAATCAGAGAATTTCGTGAAAGTCATGTCAGCTGGCGTAAGCTCAATGTAATCCAACACAATTTGAGGGTTTTTTCAATGGATCGGTGTGAAGGGTATTTTTATTTACCTTTTTGTGTGAAATCTTAAAAGTCAATAAAAACAGTTAATACACGTTAAGAGGGCTAGAAAGGAGCTTTTTAATACAAACCGTTCAGCCGCTTGTTTAATATATTTACACATACTACGCACGTTATTGCTTACATTCCTTTACAGAACTCAGCTGAAAAGTAGCTAAAGCAGTCGAGAGGTGCGCGCATACTTTACAGTTAAATAATAGTGCGTCCTTTCAATACAACTCAATAGCTGAAGATTTTTGTTGATATTTAGGCTTAAAAAGCGCAAATCCATTCCTTACATCCTTCTTGTCCATCTCTTGCCTTCTTTCATACCCACATTTACTACACATTTGCAGTATTTAAATCTGCGTTGTTTTTCTCTGTCGTGCACGTCTTAAGTATTGTCTCTTATAGTTCTTATGCAAATTTCTTTCCTTTATACTTTTTCTTTGGTCGCAGATAATCGCGTCTTTATGTCATGTAATTATGGTCATAATCAACTTGTCGTGTCGGACAATTTTCTCTGGTGGTTATCTTTGGCGGAAACTGTGAACTTTGGTGGTTTATTTTTATTCGCAATTTTTCTTATCCCTGCATCCATGACAAGTCTAAACGTTTATTAGTGTGTAAATTGCTTTGTTATGCAAATATTTTTTTTATGATTGCTGGTATGCATATAGCAATACTTAAAGCTCTGTTAGTCTAAACTTGATTTCCGTAACTTAACTTAATATTTTGGCCAACCTGTTGACTGAGAAACTATGTTGGCGGTTAGTTAAAACTTAACTTACCGTATGCAACTTAAGAACCTGTAGATTTTAGAATCTTAAGTTATGGCCTTACGGAAATTGGTAGCGGTGAAAGAATCAGGCTCGCCAGGTTTTCTTTTTTGTATTTCTCAATGAACGCGAACATATTTTTTTGCATGATTTTTTTTTGGATGTGACATTTTAGGCGGCAAACTGTCAAACAGAAAATAGAAACAAAAAAGTAAGTGCGCCTGTGCTACACTGGAGAAGTGAAACTTATCTTTATACTCTATCGATAACAAAATCGATGGTAACATCCAACATAACCGATAAAAATATCGATAACAAAATCGACAATCATATTGGTAGCAAAATCGAATAGAAAATCGATAAAAATATCGATAACAAAATCGATAAAAATCGATGAAAGATTTATTGGAAAATCGATAAAAATATCAATAACAAAATCGGTAACAAAATCGATAAATATCATCGATAACAAAATCGATAAATAATCGATAACAAATTCCATAAAGATTTCGATAGAATAATCGATAAAAATATTGGTATCAAAACCGATAACAAAACCGATAAAAATTTCGATTATTATATCGATAAGACCCGAGAATCCCGAAAATCTTTACAATCCCAAAATAGTTCCCCGATTGAGTTTCTGTGAAACAAAACATTTCCGCCTCTGGGTAATCATTGATGATATCTTACGGTACGTTTAATTAAGTTAAGTCTAGACTAACTGAAGTTTTGTATATGTATAGATGTAAATATTTAGTATTTCAGACAAAATCTACTACAAAGTATAGTAAGAAGGTAATCATATCTAACTTGGGTTTAAGTATGTCAAAATTAGAAAAAGGCTGATAGTCCTTATTGTCAGGAAGTTATACAACAAGACGAATTTCCATTAATTGGCCATACTTAAAAAAAGTGTCTGACTAAAAAAAACAGGAGCGTGGACTTTTATAATTTTAATAATAAAAATCGCTAGAAAAAAGTTATTTTTGTACTTTTATTTTAATTAAAATAAAAAAATCGTTCAACCCGGACGTTTATTTTTTTAGTCCAGTAATAACAGTTCAACTTGGCTAAGTATTTTTTATGGCCGGAATAAAAGTCCTTTTTAATAATAAACAAGCCGCCTAACCAAATTAAACAAATTGTGTATCAAATGTGTGTAACTAAACATCTTGTGTAACAAAAAAACCTTGTATATGAATTTTTTTGTATTGAATCTTCCTTTAGATATTTCTGTCCTCTTTCATTTTATGACAAATATGTTTAATTGGGATAAGGGTATGTTTAATATTAGGAAACGACTTTTATTTCGAGCTTAAAAAAATATTTGGACAAATTTCGAAAAATAAAAATAAGAGAGGATTCTGGTCTAGGAGGTCCGAAGATTAAAGCAACATTGATAGCTTTTTTCTACAACAATATTCTGCCCCAGACTTTCATAACATCGAAAAAATAACCGTTGTTTTCGGCTGCTGTCAAAACAACACTTTTCATTTCCTTCTTATATTTTATTTATCGTTGCTGTCTATTTTGCAAATGTTCATTTAGTTTAATTTTATTTTTTAAACAAGTGACACGCTCTCCAAAACTGTTTACGCAATAAAGCTTTTTTCAAGTAACAGATTAAATTTTGTTACACATCTAGACAGGTGCTAATATCTTTGAAAACAATTTCTAAATAAAAATTTTTTGTTTGACTCGAGATCTTTTTGAAATATTGCATTCTATTTATTGATTAAATTTAATTTAACCTTTTAACAGGTGGCAACTCGGTTTAAAAATTATTTCGAAACAAAGCTTTCTTATAACTCTTTCGATTGACATCCATATTGTAAAACTTTATTGTACTTATAGGATTACATTTTTCAACAGGTGGCAACCCTTTTAAAACCCATTACAAAAAAAAAAACAAATTTTAAATATTGTATGAAAAAGCCCCGAATCGTGACCACTGCCCCACCACAGATCATTTAAAATTCACAAACATTTCAAGGCCAAAGAGCTTGGCATTCAAAAACGATGCGTAAACCCCAAAGCGCCACAAAAATTATTCTTTCCTGCCAATGGTCCGCTCAAGTGATGCGTGGCGTTGCCAGTCATATCCAATGTGGTCGCACGACTCGGCGAGGCCCACAAATTTGCCTTAGCAGTCGCATCGATGGTAGTCATATTGAATTGTGGTATCCGAGAAGCGGTCACTGTGGCGGCATGACCCTGTGCGTGATTATAGCCCACACCGATGCTGGAACGATCGAATTTCAAATCATTTTGCAATTGTGTTCGAGAGTGCATAGCAGTAGCGCTGACGGCATGTGTATCATTCTTAAAGAGATTTGCATGAGCACCAGCAGATAAGGTGCTGCCAATGCCGGGCGTATGCGCGCGTTGCACCGATAAGCCATGGCCGTTGCTATTATGCAAAATATATAAGTTCTTACACTGAGTATTAAATACAATATTTTTTGTTTTATCACTTACGCACTTGCCTGCGCAAAAGTGCCCGTCACCACTGGGCCGCCCAAAGTGCTGCCGTCAGCAAAGGCGCCTACTGTCGCATTGGCCTTTTCATCACCGAATGTTTTGGATGCCTGCACACGAATATCATTTCCACCAATTGGATTTGGCGAGCTGACACCATTAATATCCATTTTTAAGCGAAAGTTTTTAATTATTCTTATACATAAATTAGATGAATTGTTTATTTTTTGAAGTTCTACCTTTGCTGACTTTTCTTCGACTGTTTCTGCAATTGCATTCGCTGCATTCTTTTATATCGTAAATTTTCTTCTTCTCATAAGGGGAATATTAATGCGAGCCTAAGTTGTAGTTGTAGATATACATACATATATGTATGTACATATGTATAAGAAAAATCCCCAATTGGGTTTATAATAATTTTAATAATATCACTCAACTACTTATTTAAGACGATGTAAACCACTCAATTTGTTGTTGGTCTGCTCGTATCGGTGTGCTTCCCAGTCACCAAGAGCAACTATAACAAAAAGCAAACAAAAGCAATAAGACAATGTGAGTCAACGGAAATTGGGCCTATGCAGAAGGCATACCAAAAAATACCCTGAGAGTCTCTATTTTAAAAATATAAGTCGATAGCGATAGGTCCGAGAGAAAGTCCACGTAAAATGATTGATGGGTATCACCGATCTAAAGGGGGTTTGGTGGCTGAAACAACAGCCCTTGATCGGGTAAAACCCGCGTCATTCCGGTACGTAGAACCGGCTGTCGTGGGAATGACAGCACTTCGGACAGTGACAGGGTGCCTTCGGATGTTGCCTGAGAACCACCTATACAGCGAAGCAGAGACGGAGCTTCAACTGCCAAGAGAGACCCGCGTTACCCTGGCCCAGTTACGAGCTGGATACTAGAAAAAAAAACAGCTACTCGTCCAGACTCGGCCCCAATATCCGTAATGAGTGTCCGGCATGAGTGTCCCCGTATGACCCCTGACACCTTTTCAAATGCCAGCTTAATCCCACTGAGCTAACACCCTTCTCCCTTTGGTCCGACCCTATTGAAACAGCCTACCGTTAGATGAGCTTGTCAACAGTAATGCCGCTACAATAAGAACAGGGCAAGTCCACCTCCACGGTCATGAGGATCTCTTTCCCCCTAATTTTGTCTATTGTAGTTGTTGTAAAAAAATATGGGCTTTTTCTCGCCGCCTCCGGTGGCGAAAGGCCTTCCCCTTTGACCACCCATTCGAAAACTTTGAGGGCTGCCATATTGAATCCATAGTTGATAACTATTTTGATATCGGCGATAGGACCGAGAAACTCAGAGCTTGACAATAGCGTTCCTCGGTCCTCTGGAGCCTGATGACCTTCCTAATAACCCAGAAGATTTGGATTGCAATATTTGAGCCTTTCCTGCTGCATGGAGGTCCAGGTGCGTTCAGTATTTTTCCTGACCATGGCCAAATTGTTCGACGGGACCAAATCCATGTACATCCACTCCTCCGAATGCGCCTACCTTGCTGGAATTTGTTGCCGTTTTGGCCGGCAGCTCTCGAATACTGGTGATTCCGGCATGCATTGTTGTTGTGCATAAAAGAAGAAGAAGAAAGTAATATATATACCTTAATTTATTTTGGAACCAATTTTGAGCGGCGAATTTTATGAAAAATCTGAGTTTTCTCAGCAAAATTGGAGAGTGCACCAAAATAAGTTAGCGACACTGCCTGGAATGTTGATTGATGTACTATTTAGTTATGTACTAGGGTGCCTCATATTTATATATAGGAAATATAAAATTTATTATAATTTAAGACTTCCAACAAAATATAATAAACTCGCATTATTTCGATTCCGTTGATACAATTTTTAAACATTTTTATGCAGACCTTTTATCAATTAAAATGTTTTTTTTCCGAAAAACTAATTTTATTTATAAATAAAATGGATTTTTGGAGTTATTTTCGAATCGCTCCAGTTCACGTTAATATCAAGATTTATCCGAATTATTTTTATGGAAGCCTTAATTTTAAGAAATTTTATAATTCCGGCGGAAAAACATCGATTGGGCATCAATAAATGTATCAAATTCATTTGGCGAGTCTCAACATAATTTTACTATTTTTACCCATTGTTCAAAATATATTTGAACAGGCTAATATATGTAAATACAAATCCACATGTAAACATATATGTGCACATACATATAGACATACATATGCACGTACCAAAATAAATATATTAATTGTAGTAGATAAAACTACTCTAAACAGCAAACATGAAAAGACATGAGCTGCATTCCTTATCTCAGCAGAAAAGGTACACATATATGTATGTATGTACATATGTAAGTGCAACAATGCAGCAATATCGATATGCACACCTAAATAAATAACCACAACATACATACACATACATGTAAATATATATACATATACAAACTTCATTTTAGTCCTAAGATTTAGTATATAAGGAGCTGTAAAACATAAATCCTGTCAGAATTAAATTAGATTCTTATTTGTACAGAACAAACTTGTTGTCTGTCTTGTATCACCTCCCACCCGAGGTAAGGGATATTAGATACCGGTACATGTCTGTACACCCATTCTTGCCAACAACAAAATTGTCTTGCCTATCGATTGATAGCAAATAAAAATCAATGCATGCCATTTCTTATCATATTTAGAATTTTCTAATTTTGTATCAAATTTTTAGCACATATCTTTCCACATATTTTCGTATACATTATACCGAACTTTAGTTTTAAATATCTCGGTAGTTTCTTCATTTCATTTACGTCCTATTTACTTATTTATGTTTCACATTTGTGTATATTCTTTTCCGCCTCATGAGCAAACATGCTTGATACTTCAGCTAGCGGTCGTCACCGTGGCGCCGTGGCTTAGTTGGTTAAAGCGCCTGTCTAGTAAACAGGAGATCGTGAGTTCGAATCTCGCCGGGGCCTTTCGTAGAATAAGTTACTACGAAGATTTTTTTTATTTACATTTTACATTCAACGGAAAAGCATATTTTTTATCTCATTTAAACTTTATGGCTGAACAATGAAAAAACCGTTTGTAAATCAATGTTCGTAACGCTTAGAGAAATGTGTTCTTTTTTTATTTATTTTGTTCTTTATTTTATTTTCAATTTGGGTTAGGTCGAATTACTAAAACTTTTTACCCGTTAAGTGCTTCAATATAAATTATTTAAACTATTAATACTATGTAGATAGTCGTAGATGGAGTTTAACTCTCATGGTGTTCTGAGTACTGAAAACTTGCGTAGACGGCCAAAAGTCTACATTTATAGCAAGCTCTAATTCGTAGGTAGAATCATTTAACATATGAACAAAACACGTTTACGCGAACTGTTATTCTTGTGTGCACATTTATTTAAAAGAAAATTTGTTAAACACCACATGAATGAGAAAAACATTAACTTTTATTCATCGAGCAGCATTTACCAAAAGTACTTATAAGTGCGAACTAGTGTCCGACCGAAGGTTCGGCCTGGTTTCCGGTATTCGGCCTATTCGGCTGATTTTTCGCCCATCGGCCGCAAATGTCGAACCATTAGGCAATTCACAAGGTGTTTTGTTAAAATTTTGTTGTTGTTTCGTATCTCTACGTAACACTTTTGAATATGTAAGAACTCTTTATATTAACAAGTAATTTTTAGCAAAAAAAAAACCGACTTCAACTCTCATATAAAATATATATATATATATATATCTCATGATCCACTGATCGGATCTTAACCAGATTACCAGGACCACCTCTGAGACACTATCTTTCCGATGCAAAAACAATTATCGAAATCGGTTGACGTGGTCCATAGTTATGCGATAACATTCATAAAAAAAAAAAAATATATATTCCGACGAACTGATAACCTCCTCCTTTTTTGGAAGTCGGTTAAAAAAATACATAAAAGTGATACAATTGCGTTTTGCTGTGATTTTGTAGAAACATGGGCAATTTTGGAAACGAATTACTAACGTGTGTCGTGGAAACAGGGTAATTCACGAATTACTTAGAGAGCGAATTACGAATGGTGGAAATATCGTATAAAGCCTTTCGACATAAATAAGCTACTTTTCCATACGAACACAGATATGAAACCTCACTTTGTTACGAAATAAAAAATCACAGACTTAGTATTTTTGAAACTTAATTATCATGTTCGGCTTCGGCTTCGGCTTCGGTGTTCGGCCGAATATTGAATCGTACCTAATATTAGGCTTGGGCTATATGTGTCGCAAACTGCCATTTTGTTTGCCAAACACGAAATTCGTCAGCACTGGTCTAAGTCATAAGTATATGGGGCATCGCAACGAAACGGTTGGAACATTTTAACACATTTTTGCTCAAACTTTAAGTAATTTTACAACTTTCAAACTGTCAGCACATGCAGTCAGATATCGGTTTAATACGAAACCAATAAAGTCCAATTTTAGACAAACTAAAAATATTTATTTCATGGCGCCTTTCATGCATGTAGTTAATGGAATGTTAAGGTAAATTTTATGCTTCGATGGCACTATTATATTTGCAAATTAAAAAAAAAAAAACTCTTTTAGCTTGTGACGGGAGGGGGAGGGGGACGAGTCACAATTGAGGACACATAGTTCGTGAGTAAAATGAATATGGGCCTGTTCAATTTAATCAATAAAGTCTGCAGATTATTTTTTTCATCGGGTTTAGTAAAAAGCCGCGCCAAAACTAGGTAAGTCATGGTCTTATCATTTGTTTCTACCACCTTGCTCCAAAGTTGGTTGCTCTTCAAAATAAGACTAACTAAAACGACTCGTTCTCCGATTCCTGCAAATAAAAATATAAATTTTTGATCAATACCCATTTCTATTCTGTCCGTACGGATTTAAAAAACTGAGGTAAAACCTACTATTTTTTTTTTACACACATTTGGCTATCAAAAAATCAAAATTTGTTTCGACTAAATGAAATCCTTCATAAACCAAACGGCTGTGTGCCTATCGCAGAATGTCAAAAACAAAAAAAAAAAACAATATATATCAGTATTGGAGTATCGCCTAATACAAATAGAACATTATAAATAGAAAGTTTAGAAATGTTGTACGCGATAACGGTGATGTTGCCAGTTCTTGACGTTTGCATCAGATAAAAGAGTACCCACCACCATACTGAGGAACAATGCCGAAATTTGCAGCAAAATTTTTAATACATACGTATGTATGTACAAAAATCCAGTAAAAATTAGGACTGTCGCCATTTAGTGAGTTGGTTAGACGCAA